GCTCAGTGCGCTGAAATGAAGTTTGTTATGGACCTCGGGTAATACAATAATGTATTCGGGTTGTAGAACAGCAGGCGTATGCTAAAACCATGCAGAGTGTCTGCAAGTGTCGAACAGCGTCGGTCTGCACTGAAACATTTGATTGACCGGCATCTCCGGGCGCGTCTGTTGTGCGGGAGTTCTAAACACGGGTTTTGCAGGCGCAATTTAACTAGTAAAACAAACCCACGATGCGTTACTTTTTAGTAACAGAACCCAGAAGGTTTGTTTCTGGCTTGTGTTCAAGACTTCTGTGAACCAGGCAACAACTCTTCGAATTTCCTCTCTGTTACCACTGGCTACCACTACACCAGTACTTGGTAGGTGGGTAGGACATTCAATGACTATAGATATTCTCGACTTGCACAAAAATATGTGAACTGAAACCGAATAAATTCATGGCATATGACGGGCCAGTCACAGCGCCGTCATTAAATATTTGTAAAGTATATATAAAAATTTGGTTACAAGACCTATTCGAATGCGTCTAATTCCCATTCCTATGCCTTTTTGTTCATGTGCAGTGTTACCGTAAAATATTTCATCGTACGTTCTGTATTTCATAGCAGGGGATTAAAGAAATCTTTGAGCCTTTCTTAGCTTTCGAAGGTGATATGTGGGCTCCGAAATAATACGGCTGTTCTAGAAAAGACTCAGATTTATCACAGTTTGTAGGTAGCGTTTCAAAACATCTCTTTGAGAGCACTATCTGGGCTTTTGGAAACCGGACTCGTACAAATGTATTTCATGTCGAACGTCTCTTTTTATAGGATAGGCAGAATATTGGTGGGGGGTAAAAAAGGATCGAAATCCCATAAGTGATACACAGTCCCACAATTTATCTACGTGTAACCAAATCAGACGTGAGGATAGCAAAAGTTTCCTCCGTTTCAATTTTCACCTCTTGCTCCATATGCAAATTTTGTCATGACGCTTACAACAGCTGACGTTCCCCACTCCCCGAGTAGATTCGTTGAAAGTCTAATGTTGAGTGAAGGCGCTTATCCCCCATATTGGAATAGCAGTTCCAACTGTGAATGTCATACTAAAGTTAAAAAAGTATGTTGTCACATCTGCTTTAAAAATGACCAGAATTACGGTGGGCGTCTGACCGAAAATACACGCCGTGATGTCTTTATGATTTCTCTCATACGGGCTTATTAAACCTATATTAGAATACCATAACAGCGAGCTGAATTTAAAATTGTAACTTGAAACAGAGTAGCAAGTATATACGAGTTGAAACTTCAGCATAAATGAATCTAAATCATTAAGTGAATTATTTGAATTCTGTGCTATGTGAAATAATCGAGATTACTTTATTGTAAAGTGACAGGTTTCGGGCAGGACGGTTGACGTACATTTCGCCTTCCTCCTTCATTTCTTTCCGATGTGTAGAATAAGAAGAACGCCTCCAAGTATCTTGTACAGTTTCATGACGTACTAGACAACCCCAGACTTCGTAACACATTCCTCTAAGACTGATCTAGGTTGTAAACTCAAGGAAAATACATCTAGGTGGATCGTCCATTAGTTTCTGATAACAATTTTCACGCAATAAGATCCTGAAGTAATGAAACATATTTTAACATTGTTCCTAGCCGACGTTTTCACATAACGTGTCCTCAGAGCGGTCCGCCTGCGATTTAACGGCACTGCTTTTACGCTGCAGAGTGATTGTATTCGCTGGCATTGCCACTACTACCATTCCACTAAATTTCACGCCTTCAGTCTTATTTATCGCTTCCTACGAATAAAAGAAGTGCAAGTAGATCTTAAACGACTGTCGTATGTTCTCATACAGTCGTCACTAAACTCTGTAAAGTCACAGTTGTAGGTTTGCCACGTACATGGAGGTTTTTATCGGCACAGGTCTCTCACCCTGGGTTGACAAATCTACCAACACGAATAACATCTTAGTTTCGTCCTCTTTTTCCTCACTGCCAACCCTAGACAGGTGGCCCTTCATGGCATGACATGGGACAGGTCCCGAGTTTATATAAAGGTAGCTCTATTCACTGGTGTATTATGGCATCGGTACGGGGGTGTCAAAATAGGTAACATACCTGAAAGAACATGTGCACATACATGAATATGTTTTAAGAAAATTCTGAGGCAAAAGGTAGCATGTTATTAGGTGAAATAAAAAAATATATGATCGATAATTTTGAAGAGAGTGTAATGTATAATATAAATGAATTAATCTCGGATTCTTGTGGTAATATTAGTAATGTTGTTTACCGTTCCCATGAATAAGGAGTAACGCACTAATTATTTTACAGGTCAGCGACGGCATCAAAACACAGCAAACCATAACGCACATCTTCAACACCATCGGAATCTCAAATCTCACGAAGTGATACCATCTCCTAAGGTAGGAATGCTTTAAAAAATATTTTAAAATTTAAACTCGAACATAAATAAGTTCAGGAACTGATTATGATGTTAATGTTGATGACTACTATTAGAGAAGAATGCGTTTTTAAAATGAGTGTTAATGTTCTTTTAAAAAGTATGACTTGTTTCGTAGGATTTTCGTCGGTAATGTGGCATATTTAGGACTGTATATTTACTCCTTAAAATCTTTCTGTACACTTAATGCCAATCGTCTAGAGTAGCGTATATTTCATACAAGTTTAGGATTCTGGAACCATACACCGTATATTGAGAGATATCAGATTCCAACGGGCGTCTTTCATAGTCTCATAAAACACAGATTTATCATAAAAGAAAAATAATTAGGTCTATGTAGTACTGTCACCATTGTTCAGAATTTTCCCTGGCGTCAGAGAAATGGAACAGACAACATTAATGGGACTGTGGCTTATACTTACTGTGTACCGTCACGATATGCGGTATTCATCCTTCTGTTAACGTCACTATATTTGGTTGCACAGTTGTGTTATATAATCCTATAGTGCATGCATCAACTGTAGATGTTCTTATGCCTTCTTTCCACACAGTACGTTAAACTTAGCCGTGTACATAATACTGACGTCAGAGGCCTCTGCTTCCAAAACCACTCAGCGGATTTTGATGGAATTTGGTGTTTAGCTGTGTTTTCTTCTACGTTCATGCTTTAGCCACCTACTGTTGATTTTCCCATATTTTTTTCTGTGGCGCACTGCGGTATCTGTGTTCCAAATACATTTGAAGCCCTGTGATCCACGTATTCTACTGTCTTTTGTCCTCTGTATGTTTAAGTGTTTCTTTCTGTCGTTAACTAACTTCATATTTTTATCGAAAGTATTTAGTCCTGCTGTAATGTCTCAGTTTATTTATCTGTTCTCCTATACAATGCAAACTGTTATGATATCTCAATTAACTTGCTTGAATTTTACTTTTGTTTCACGTTCGTATAATAAATATAGCGCTCGAATGACCTTATAACATTTTAACATATTGTTATTACACACTTGTGATGTTAAGTGTTCATGTCAGTTTCATTTTGATATGTCGACAATAATCGGAGCTCAAGTTGAACTTTATAAATTGTCTGAATGACTGTTTAGCGTACAGGAATTGGTACATATAGCAATACGAATTCGTTCAGTTCCTCACCAGTTGTTGGAAAGATTTTTCTTGGAAGTGGAGTACATTTAGCTAATAATAAAAAAATATTTAACGCCTCTAGTCAATGCCATATTCTGCTATGTATTATATTTGTGAAACAATATAATTTTATTTCTCTGTGAAATGTAATATTATGAAACGTTAGTAAACATCTGCCATACTACACAGCGCAACAACACAGAAGACATAAATCTTCATATTCACCGCTGTGAAAACCTCAAATCATAAATAGCATTTATGTTTTCGTCATGAAAATTGGGAGTTAGGAAAGTCAGTACAATACGATCCGCGCATGCGCTGCTCATTATCACTGCCGTCAGAATTAAGTATGTCCTCTGTAAACAAAGTGTGGGCATTTAATATGAGTAAAAAACGGATGAAATACCTCGGCTAGGTGCACAATTTGATCTATGAACACGTACTTTAACATCCGTTGAGTAACGCGGACAAAATCCACGAGCTTTGCAACTGTAGATTTTTTCTATTTGCAGCCAGTTAATATCGAGTTGTGCAGAGTCGCAATAAAACGAATTTGAAAAGCCATTTGAAGTTGAAATCTGAGAATACGTTTCCACTCTTGTTACTTCTTTGTCAGAAAGTTGAGAGGGCAGTATGTTGTTCAACCCCAGCGATAAATTTATTCCGTCAGAATGTAAGCGATAGATTTCCCTCGTGTCTCTGATGGTGGGTCGATATTTCGATATGGCGAGCTTCTTGAAAGGCTCCTGTTTTATTCAAGGACCGATGTAATATTTTCAGCACATGAGATGACTTGTAAGCCTTGAATGGCTTGCTGCTAGGTCTCCATAGCTGTCCTCACTTCTGGATGTTAACGTGGCACGCTAGATGGAAGCATCTCTCTTTAGATCTTAAATATTTGAGCCGTGCATTAAAATCTGCATGAATAAATGATTGTACTGATTCTTGTCCTCTAATTTTCGCGGTTTGGCCGCGTTGAAAGTTGAAGAATCCATGACGATTCAATGGTATAATTACTTTTTCTCTTCCGAAATAAATGAGCAACGGTTTAAGTAGATTCATTGAATTCAATTGATATCAAAGTTTCGTGAAAGAAAAGTGAGCTGTTTGTATGAAGGGTATAGTTATGATTAAAGAAACTTGTTTTTTTAATGAAGTCAGTTTTATACCAAATTAAAATATCTGATTTAACACACAGTCTACACCATACAAACCTCTATCGTAAGATTTCATTTTAATATTATCCTCTCTGACTTCAAATAACGTTTTTATTGGGACATGGCAGGTTTCTTTTCAAAGTTCTGTTTCGACTGTTCATATTTTCATTAATATAGCAGTGCTTATTGAGATTGTATTACACCGGAATTGTTTGTTCAAGAAAAACGAAGCCTGTGAATGAACACAACACTCATGAGAAATAAGTGACTTATTGCAATTTAGTCACAGTCTAAAGTTTAGTCATGTTCAAAGAAAGTAATAAAAAATTAGAATTTCTACATATTACGCTGTATTTAAAGTGTAACTTCTAATGGCGCACATTACTTGAATAGTATTTAAATTATCGAAGCATTGGATAGTCCTTCTTAGGTTACGTTTTGAACGGAATTAAGAAAAAAATGTCTAATGAAGATTCCATGCGTTTCGTGACTGCTTGGTAAAATCCAGTGTGCGTACTGACATATGTATGACAGAATTTTTGCATGGTGAGGGTGTTTCTTATCACCTTCAAATCCTCCATCCTTCTGGGTACAAACTCATCACTCATGTGTTTTTGTTTGGCCCTCCTTCTCAATAGTTTATCAACTTTCTGTGTACGTCTGTGTGCACGGACAAGTTAATACTTAGCTCCATTTTACATCTATAGAGGCTTGTGATGCCACCTCCTTATTTCTACTGAAGGAAATCTTAATGCAGAACAGAGTTTTCAAAAAGTTATCCGTTCTTAACACACGCAGCGAAGACATCTCCGTCCGTCCATCCTTATATCGCATTATCGGAACAAATGGTTAAGATTAATTTTCTAAAATCTATATTCGTTGGGTAAAGAAAGAATAACTCTGTCAAAATAGGCCTTGGCCCTTTATATTCTAATTGTTGTAGTAGCTTAGTGCCCCGGTTCCGATAAACATACTAACAACTCAAAACAAGTAAAGACGTAGAGTAGCCTACAGTCCACGACTGTAATCTTCAGACTTGCAAGGAATGCAGGAAGTCCGAAGCGTTAAAGGCAGATGCTATATTTCCTCCTTCCTTCTTCACCCCACTTCCTCACCCCGCAAGTCTCTAGATTACAGTCGTGGACTGTACATAATAAGAGAAAATACGTTATGATGAACTTAGAACTCATCTAGGTATTTCTATGGAAGATTAGGAATCGCATGAAACATACCTTGCTGTTCCAGGCTAAATGTATTACAAAGTATTATTTCTGCAATTATGTTTCCAGCAGTAGACATGCTTAAGTGTCCATACTGTTATATGGGTAAGGTTTGGAAGCTGAGGCAAGCTACTTGGATTGAAGTGAAATTCGGTACTGTGCGCTGCCTTTCCAACTTGATTACTTCTGTCTCCCTGCCAAGTTGGCCTATTTCCTTTCCTTGAGACCGTGGATCCTCGTTTACTTAATGAGGATCTGATGAAGACGGTTTCAGAAGGCGGAAGAGATCACATAGGGGCTGTGGGTAAGGAAGTATTCCTACAGATCTGCTCTATATGCACGCTTGAGTGCGCTGATCCATGTTAAAGGCGGCTGACTGTGTCTGGACATCTTAGAAATGTTACTTGGTTTGTGATACATTTTGGAAAAAAAGAAAAGAAATCAATTACATGAAGTGGTCTGTGGCTGTCCTTGGATACCGACGATCTCTCAAGACAGAGATCTTAAACAGTCCACCTCTGTGCAGCGGAGTCCCTTTTTATAGAAGTTAATAGGTGCACAGTAAAGGGATACCGCGCCTTTTATGGAACGTAAAAGCTCATTATCGTGTTTACAACAGCCTGTTTCAGGTCTCTTCTTAGCAATACGTGTATAGTAAACATTCTCTAATTAAGCCTATGCAACCTTCTCAAGTGTTCAAATCGTGTTCTGCACTTCGTAGATTATTTAACTACCTCAATCTGACTGTTAGTTTGTTCCTCCCACTGTCAATTTATACGTCTGAGCAAAGCGGCTAAATACCCCACATTCCGTATATAATTAGTTGGTTGATTGAATGTCAACTGTGTGCCTAAGGTTACATATTGAATTGGCATTGCGTTCAAGAGATGATAAGCGTTCTGATCGCCCGCTTACGGAATCTGGGTTTAACTGCCAACCCACAAATTTCGTTAATTTGTGTCGAATGCCTTCAGGTACAGGCTATGATCTTTTCCTCCACCCAGCTAGGCAAGGACGCGGAGTCCATTTCTGAGGTGGAAAACCCATAGGGCGCATTATGTTACTCCGAGTGACAGGATGTCTGTGTGAATGATGGTCTCGAGGGGGCATGCAATTAACGTGCACTGCGGGCCGCAAAGGGGGGACGAGATTTATTCACATTTCCAAAGTTTTAACTTTTTCTGGGCTGAAAGCTTCAATCTGTGAGTATAAACATCATATGTGGCCGAGGATCTAACCTAGAACACTCTAAATCAAGACACGTATCTTACCCTGAGACCAACAGATCTACTCTCTTCTGCCAAGTCACAGAAATTAATTACTTTTTGTAATCCTTAATAACACTAACTATTTCGGTAAATTTTCATAACATAATTGAATAATATAGACGGTGGTCTAGTTTTTTTTTAGGGAGTACGTAACAATATCATAGTGAATATACTTTT